TAGGTTTATTTATTTATGTTAACAGAGGTACTGGGGATTGAAATCAGAACCTCATGCATGCCAAGCCTGCACTCCACCACTCAGCTATACCCTCCCCCTACTACGTAATACTCTTGAAAGTGTCTTTTTGGCTACCCAGAACATCATTTTCCTGTTGATGATAAAGGACCTTTGAAATGGTTGCATCTGTGAAAGAACTTAGTGGAAATAGCCTGGCCACAGAGAAACTAGAAGCTCTCGCCTCATTCCCTCCTTTCGTCTCTTCCTTTCTTCCTTCCTTCCTGTAGCAGGAAACACATCTGTAAAATGGGACTAACAATAGTTCCTGATTTTGAGGCTGTTGTGAAGATTGAATGAGCAGACAGGATGCCAAAGGTCTAGCCGGCACAAATGGATAGCTGTTTTATTTTTGAATTCTGGGTCTTCTATCAATGACTGACGGATGACTTCAACACACCCGTAAGTTCCACCAAAGTTTTAAGGAAGAAGGGCACTGAGAGATCTTAATCCGCCCAAGGTCAGGGTGGAGCATACTTGCACCTAGGACTGTTTTTTTTGTTTGTGACTCCCCAGAATGGAAATATCTCAGTGTATAAATCTAGGAAACAGGTGAGTAACAGTGGCCCTTCAGTATTCCCCAAGGTGGCCTTTTTAAAGTCTATTAGTTGAGACTGGGGAGTGTGTTCCATGGCTCACGAGGAGGTCTGGAGCGTGGTGTGGCATGCCGTCAGAGGTTCCTGAAGCATCCCCAAATACCCTGAGTCAGGTAATCACAAAAAACAGGAAAGGAAGGACTAGACTTTAAGACCCTCTGGAAATTCTCTGGACCCACCTGATCCCTTAACCACTGAATCCTGAAACTTGAGATTCTCCAAAAACCAGACCACTGAGGTCCCCGACATCTATAACATCCTGGCTGGAGAGAACCTAGCAGAGCTTCTTTACAGGCTTTTGCTGATTAAGAAATAAGAAAAGTTGGCAGACAAATGGGAGCAGAGGCTGATGGCATCCACCCTCATCCCCTGGGGCCTTAATGTGTTAGTTCTCCCCGGCTTCCTTCCCATGGCCAGATCCGCACCTCTGCCTGTGGGCTCCCTCAGAAGTAAGTCCTTGAAAGGTCACTCTGCTAGCAGATAGCAGATGACTGAGGGAAGTTGGTATTATTACCCCAGCTCCCTTGCCTCTCCCCTCTCTCATTATTCTGTGCTGTTCCCCAGACGCCCCTGGGGGTGCTCCAGGCTCCCACAGACAGAGCTGGTTGGATAACGCGTTCTTTGTTGGTTCACATTTCCACTTCCCCCAACTTCCAAACAAACCACCTACACTTCAATATTTGTCTCAGGATCAGTTTCTGGGGGAATCTAAATGAAGATATAAATTAGTCACGTCAATTAATGTTCAGTCTCTGCGGGCTGAGAGCTAATTAACTACATGTTTATATTCTCTCTGTAAAAGGTTTCGAAAGCAGCGTGTGCTGAGCCGTTTCGCATTTATGCTTGGCCTCCAAGAAACCGACAAGGGATGCTGGGGCTGGGCTGGGCAGGAGTCAGCCCCCAGGGCATGATGGCAGCTGACAAAACTATTTATTGGAGGATTTCTGGCTGTCAGTTCTGATCTCTGCTGATGATCAGAGGAATTCACTCATTCTGCAAATATTTTCTCAGCTCTGCCTCTCTGCAAGAGGTCTGGGCAGCATCAGCCAAAATGAAACAAGTACTGTCTGTTTTCTCTGAGATGCAGCTTTCAGATTACTCTATTAATGAAACACCAATGAATCTGTTCAGAATTAATGTTTGAGTGACTGTTGGGCTGATGATGATTCTCGGGAGGGTGAGGGATGAATAATAATGACCAGTTTTTTTCCTTTTGCACACTATGCAGGATTTATTGCTGTTGATTACAATGCCCCTCCCCGATTTCCCAAAGAGATAATCACTATGGTGCAGTATAGACCCCCAGGAGTGTTGGGACAGAAGTAACTTTTCAAACGGCTGGGCCACTGTGATTTAGCTTTGGGAACAGAGCCAAGGAGAAGTGACAGCCCAATGCAGAGAAAATGTCCCTGGACTGAGAGCCAGGATAGCTGAACGGTGCTGCCACAACAAGCTGTGTGACCTCAGGACATCAATTGCCCCCTCTGGGACTCAGTTTCCTCACCTCTAAAATCAGGGAATGGGTTGATGGTCTCTAGGTTCATTAATTATAAATATTTGTGATCCCTTGAGAAACAATCAACCCAAATCAAATCTCTGGTTGGTTTCACTTTCTCTCTGTGTTGTTCCACCTCTCACTGGTTGTGGCGGCTGCATTTCGTGGAGTTTCTTGTTTGCCATGGAAATTGTTGTGACCTGGCCCAAGGAATGAAGATTAGACAGAAAAGCTGTTGGAAAGGGGTAGGGGATGGAGAATTGGAGAGTGGAATACGTTTTCTGGGCTGGAGAACACTAGGGGATCCAGACTTGTAAAGACCGGTGGGGAAATTTCCTGTTGATCCTTGAGGGGCAGAGGTTAAGGGGGGCTGGGAGCAGAAAGAATAGAAAAGGTTCCCCTGGTTTTCTTTTGGTAGCTTTTCTCAACTCGCATGTTCCCAACCTTGGCTGTGTGTTAGACTCATCAGAGAGCTTAAAAACCTTTCCTCCTTCTGATTGAATTGGTCTTGGGCCTGAGTGTTTTTGAAAGTGTTCTGAAATAATTTTGCTGTGCAGCCAGGATTGAGACACACTCAGGAGTCACCCAGAGCTCAGGATCAGCTGTCTTGCCTTCTTTCAAATGCTACCTAATTTTTCCCACTTTCTTCACACCTTCCTTCCTTGTCTGTTCATTTCTTCCACTGCCTCAGAATGCCAAAGTCATGAATGGGTGGGAGATGGACAGGGAAGAACAGACTCATGCATTCGGTCTTCTGATTAATTCCTTTCTTATTTATGAGGTTTAAAAAAAGATGCTTTCTCTCCCTGACTACTTAAGAAATTCAGACTACTTAAAAAAACTGGAGAAATACTCAAAAGCAAGCAAGAGAAAACATCTCTACGTGGAATGGGTTCCTCATTTACAGGCAACCACTGCTCATGTAACACCTTTACATTTTAGTGTTTTCTTTCTGATTTTTAAATTTAAAAAAATTTTTTAGGGAGAACTTTTGTTTTCAGCTTTATTGAGGTATAACTGAAGTACAATAAACTGCTTTCTGATCTTTTCTTGATGCCTACTTTTTTTGCTTGAATGCTTTACCTAATGTTTATAGCAAGGATTGGCAACTGCAGCCCGAGAGCCAAAGCCAGCTCACCTCCCATTTCTGTAAATACAGTTTTATTGGAACATAGCCGTGCTCACTGGTTACCTTCT